AATCGCTGGCGCTGTTCTGACTTCACTGACGCGGGAGGTTTCGACTGGGATCTGCACTGTCACTCAAACTGAGCAGCCCAGGAGCTGCCCTGTTGTTCCCCTGTGGACTGTGTTCGGCTGCTCTGAAACGTTGTTTTGTTAACCATGGCTAATACAGGTTTCCAAGGAAGGTAAAACCTTTCTTTTTTATTAACTAAATCCTGCTTCTCCATCCGCTCAAATGAGTGTACTTGCATAGTTCGTAACACAGTGTAGACGCTGTACGGACCCCCACAGCACTAACAGTACAGACAGTACTGTTCAGAGACAATATAGTAAAATATATACACAACTGTACAGAAACAATATAGTACAGTATATTCACAGTACTGTTCAGAGACAGTGCAGTACAATATAGGCACTGTATAGATACCCATAGTACAATATAGACCACGACAGTTTTGACAGTACTATACAGTGATGATATTGTACAGTATACATAATACCATATACACTAACCATATAGAGTCAATATTGTACAGAGACAATACAGTTCAATATAGAGAGTTCTGTACAGATATATTACAATATAGGCACTGCACACATGCCTGTAGTACAATATAGGCGGTACTGTACAGAGACAATATTGTACAGTAACAGAGATGGCTACACTAACAGTACAATATTTAGAGTACCGTACGGAGAGTAACAGTATAGACCCAGTGTTGTACAGTGACAATACAGTACTTCATTGGCAGTGTACAGGTTTCCACAGTGCAGTTTAGACAGTACAGTAAAATATTGACAGCAGACAATACAATGACAGTACAATGCTGTAACAAGACAATTACTACTATGTAGGTACAATGCAGTATAATGTTGGCGTCATACTGTACAATATGGAGAGTACACTAGACAGCATACAGTACAATAGTCAGTACAATACAGATGCCCAATACGGGACAGTATAGACTACACAATAGAGTACAATAGTTGCTCTGCAATATAGACGGTACAGTAAAATATTAACAGCAGACACTAACAGTACAGTTTTGATAGTGCTGTAACAATGTAGACAGGACAGTATAGGTTCAATGCAGTATGATATAGACAGTGTGATAGAAGCAGTACAGTAGAGGACAGTACAGCCCCACGCACTCATCACACCCCTGCTCGTCTCCCTGGAGCTCTCTGGCGATGCTCTCTGGGACAGGGGGCGCTAGGAGGGGTTTCAGGACTTCGTTGTCCACTTAAAGGATGTCCCTGTCCCTCAGTTGTGTCCCTCAGCTCTCTCCCCCAGCCCTGTCCCTGAACCCCAGCCCTCAGTCACTCAGCTCTGTCCCTGTCCCCAAGCTCTGTCCCCCAGCCCTAAGTCCTCAGCTCTGTCCCTGTCCCCCAGCTCTGTCCACCAGCCCTCAGTCCCTCAGCCCTGTCCGGCAGTCCTCTGTCCCAGCTCGGGGTCTTCTCGAGATCCACCTGAGACTCCACCAGACGGGTGCATACAGACACATATCCAGGAGGAAGCAAACCACCCACTTCAGTGTAATAATGGTTTATTTTTTCATTTATTTGGCTTGAATCTGAATGTGTTTCCTAAAGGTTTGGACTGACACCGAATGCGGGGGCTGTGTACCACCATGCTGGGGCTTTGTGAAGGGAAGTCTTTACAAGTCGCAAGTCTTAATGCTGAGGATGTAACGGGTTTTATCAGCAGTACAGCTCCATTTTGAGGGTTTTAGCCAATTAAAGTTAATACTGTGTTGATCACTGAGTCCTCGATGTGTTGTTTTAAACTTGGTATTCCTGGAAGGGTGTGTTTTGGAGTCCAGTACAGTAAACAGGGACTAAGCAGTCACTGGTGTCATACCAGTGGTGCTCAGCAGAGGGCACTGTTTCCCCAGTAAGAGTGGTGTCTGCGACTCCAGAGATGGGTCACCCTCGGGAGCCCGTGTCCAGCCTTGGTGGAGGGGGGCAAGAGCGCCTCCTGCTTGCGACCCAGGTTGTGTGTCCGGTTCCAGGGAGGGGCCGAGCGACGAGCCCGGGCCGCGCAGGGCGCTATATCGGACCTGTCAAGAGCAGCAGTGGGAGGAGCCACTGGAAGCACAGCTGGGATCTTGGCGGTCAGTCAGCGACTGTGCCCGGACGAGCGAGATGGGGTGGACGGCTCCTCGTTGGGGACAACCTAAGGACAAGGACATCTCTGTCCCACTGATCCCAGCCCCGGGGCTCCGGGTCGGAGGGCGGGATCACTGTGGATGTCTGCGGATCGTTAAAGCAATATTCCAGATCTGCCTGCGTCTATTGCTCAGCACCCTGAAGACATCCCCGGTAAACTCTGAAAATACTGAAGTCCAGGGTGTATAGACCTGCCAGGACACTTAAAAAATGAATTCTGACTACATATTATTTGAAGGGTAAATTATTGTTTTGTTTAGTTTTATTCAGTGCTTCAATTAAAACTCTTCATCCATGGTTTCTGGTTAGGAAAAGCTCTTACTTCTTAGTTCTTCACATTGGTATGTGTAGTTTAACGTATTCTGAAAAATACATGAAATATTATTCTTCCTTCCCCCTTTGTAATTGTTTTCAGTTCAGCATCCATGTTGGGAGCGATCCTGCATGAAAAAGGCACCGTGCTCTACGCTCTGTAGCTCAGGAGTGTGTCACGCCACGTTTGAACCTGTGAAGTTTCCCACATTTTTTGATTTTTCAATTATTTTTCGTGGCCGACTGCATATACACAGATTTGCATAAAAATATTTAGTGCAAAACGTGAGTCTGATGTACAGTATATAGATATAGAGTACATCTGAATGTTGATATAAATGCACTCACTCCCTGTGATCCTCTGTCTCAGTCTGCCCCCTCCCCTCTACACGCACCGCCAGGCCCTGTGCAGATCCAGAAGTCACTCTCGCAGTTTCGTCCTGAGTCGCAGCAGTGGAAATGGCTGAAGCCAGTATTTTTCAGTTCAAGGTGCTTTATTAGCATGGTTGATGGGTACAATCAGTGTTTCCAAAGCAAATAAAAAGAATCAAATTAACATTAAACAAAACAAAAATAAAAGTAAAATAAAATCTACAGACATTCTTGTGTGTGGGTTGATGTTGAAGAGCCTCCTTCTTATTGCGTAGAAAGCCCTGAGTGCCTTCTCCCTCAGTGCCTTCACTGCCAGGTCAAAACTCCCAGATGAGCTGATGGTGAGACCGAGATATGTGTAGCTGGATGTGTGCTCCAATGTGTTGTTGTGGAGTGTGAGATCAGGAGCTTCAGACTGTTCCAGCATTCCTGCTAATTCGTTGCTATAGATATTGAACATTGTTGGGGTCAGGCTGCAGACCTGTCTCACCCCACGACCTTGGGTGAAGAATTTGGTCCTTTTGTTTCCAATTTTCACTGCACATTTGCTCTCTGAATACATTGATTTAATGATGTCGTACACTTTGCCCCCTATGCCGCTTTGGAGTAGTTTGTAAAACAATCTTTCATGCCAAATCGAGTCAAAAGCTTTTTTGAAATCGACAAAGCAGGCAAAAATTATTCCTTTGTTTTTTGGTGGACGTGTTTGTCTATCAGTGTGTGTAGGGTGAGAATGTGATCAGATGTGCGGTGATCTGGTAAGAAGCCAATCTGACTCAGGACATTGTGTTCGGTAAGGAAGGCCAGTATTCGCGTGTTCAGGATACTGCAGAATACCTTCCCCAGGTTACTGTTCACATAGATGCCCCGGTAGTTGTTGGGATCAATCTATCTCCACTCTTATAGATAGGTGTGATCAGTCCTTGGTTCCAGGCCTCGGGGGAAACATCCGGCTGTCATGATGAGATTGAGGAGTTTGAGTAGGGCTTGTTGCAACTTTGGGCTGCTGTGTCTCAGCATCTCGTTGATGACTCCATCTTGGCCACAGGCTTTGCGTGGTCTGAGGGCCTGGAGTTTGTCCAGTAGCTCCTGCTCAGTGATTGGGGAGTCTAAGGGGTTTTGGTTGTTTTTGATAGCCAATTCCAAAGTTTCGAGTTTTTCATAAATGGTGTTTTGGTCTGATTGATTTGTATTTGGGAGCTTTTGATAGAGATTTTCAAAGTACGTTTGCCAGATTGTTCCATTTTGGATGCCCAGTTCTTCTGGTTTTGATTTATTTAAATTGTCCCACTTCTCCCAGAAACAGTTCTGATTTAGTGACTCCTCAACTTCTGCAAGTTGTTTGTTTATGTAAGTGTTTCTTTTCTTTTTCAGCGTTGTGTATAGTTTAACCATTTCACAGTAGCTGAGCCACAGATCTGTGTTGTGTGGTTGTCTGCGTTTTTGATTTGAGAGTTTTCGTAGTACATTTCTGATGTTTTTGCACTCTGTATCAAACTACTTTTCTTTTGCTTTTGTTTTTTAGTAATTTTTTGATTTCGTTGTTTTTAGCTTAGATTTTGATGCTGGTTTGTGGAATAGGTGATTCAGTTTTTGTGTGGCCAAGCTTATGCCTAATTTGTTTGTTTGATATGGAGTGTTTAGGAATGTGTCCAACAGTGTCTGAATTTCTTCATTCTCTCCTCTCTCCTCTCTCCTCTCTCTCTCGGTTCCTCCCTGCCTGTTTTCCTCTCTCCGCCCCGGCAGCACGGTCAGGAAACGGAGGGGGTCCAGTTCCTTCCCTCAGTGCCCGCTGCCCAGGAATGTCTCCAGGGGGCCGGGGGGGTCTGAGAGAGCTATTCTTCTCCCCGAGACGGAGCTCTTCGGAATCCGTTCCTCCCTTTTCTAACCTAGAGAAATAAGCGGAAGGAGACTCGGGGAAGTTTTCGGGAGCGTTGATCAGATAGTTTTTTATTTGTTCCGAGGGGAAGAATTCCCAGAGAGCTCCTGCGTGCCCCATGAAGGCAGTATTGTGCAAGAGACAGGGATCAGACTCTGGCACATCTGGAAGCCATCGGCGGGGAGACCTGCCTGCTGTCAGTATTGAAGCAGACTGAGGCTGCGGCAGCAGGAGAGGAGGAGAGGAGGGGGAGCAGCCGGGCCAGGAGAGAGAGGGAGTTCCTGCAGGAGTCACATTCCGGCTGACAGGAAACAGGGGAGAGGAGCTCAGCACAGAGAGACGGGAGACTCGAGGAGAGGAGAGGGGAGAGGGGCTCAGCACAGAGAGACAGGAGACTCGAGGAGAGGATAGGAGTTCACCACAGAGAGACAGGAGACTCGAGGAGAGGAGTTCAGCCCAGGGACACAGGAGACCCAAGGGGAGGAGAGGAGAGGAGAGGGGAGAGGAGTTCAGCCAGAGACCCAGGAGACCCAGGGGGAGGAGACCAGAGCAGCCGCAGCTCTGCCAGGGACGTCACTGTGCTCCGAATCCGGGAATTTTCCAGAGCCTGTCCGAGTCTCTGCACCGCGTCTCCCAGGAATCTGAGCTCTCCCCACTCCAGGTAAGAAACCAAGAGGGGACAAGGGGAATGAGAGAGAGAGAGAAGGGTGAGAGGAGAGGAATAGGAGAAAGAAGAAAGAGGAGAACAAGAGGAGAGAGAGTAGGGAGAGAGGAGAGGGGAAAGGAGAGAGAAACGGGCCACCCAGACCTGGCTGCCCAGAGAGGACAGGCTGTGCTCCCACTGCCAGCGGGGAGAAATAGAGACAGGGGTGCCCTTCCTACTGCACTGTGACAGATACTCTGGGATTAGAGAAACATTCTTCCCCAAATTAACACAGATAATCCCAGAGTTCCCACACCTACCAGAATCACAACAGGTCCCAGTCCTATTAGGAGAGGGAGGAGGGAACTCAGCTGAACTGGCAGCCCAGTATGTGATCTCCTGTCCCAGCC